CAAAAACAATTGTCAACCACAAAACAATCCCTATGATGTCTATAATAAATTATTTAAATTTTATATGATTGATTGTCATAGAGAAAATAAAATCATGGAAATATGACTTAAGTGATGTCCTTTTATAAAATTTACTATAATTTCAAAAGTTTTTTTTATATCATTATGTAACATTGAAATACGACGAATCCTAACGCTATTTTCACATTACACGATTTCGCTTGTGCGGGAAAAAATTGCCCGATTTTTAATCGTGGTTTTACTACTTTCACATTGAACGATAAAAATCGTAAGTTTGGTCAGTTCATTGGAACATTTGGTCTGGTCTGGATGAAAACTATGGATCGCGAACAAGTTATTGCGTTATGGATACTGTATCGGCGTCGGAAAAGACAAAGGCGCAATCGCCTTCACTGGATTCACCCAATTAATCAGAGACGAGAGGAAATCGGGATGTTCCACACATTATTTGAATATCTTAGAAACGATGACCAAAAGTTTTTCAACTACTTTCGTATGTCAGTTCGCTCCTTTGATGAGTTACATGGGAAACTGAAGAGTGTTCTACAATTCCCGTACGACTAAAGACCGTCTAGTGTGAAAGCGTGCATTTGGTCACGTAGGCCACTAGGCTAGAGGGCGATACGGTAGCCGTGCGGTTCTAGTGGCACTGGACGGCTGCAACACGATTACAAAACGTGCCCGTGTTCAAATCGTGCAATGTGAAAGGTCTCGTACTCTTCAATAGTCGATCAAGAAAAATTGCCCGGGCGATTTTTTCCCGCACGAGCGAAATCGTGTAATGTGAAAATAGCGTAATGAACGTGGAACATAGAGGTTTCTACAGTAATTAATCCTGAAATGTTAGTAAGGTTCAACATGCTATAAATTCAACGAATTTCTAGAATATTAAATTGTTAAGTAATTGAGATGTAAGAGCAAATCGAGGTGTAGTGTTGAATCTCGTACTATATGCAAATCAATTCGTCGATACCTTATGTTATTTCATACATAATCACACAATCTTTATATATATATACAGGGTGACTGGTGAATTACTATCGATACTTGAGGACGTGATATTTTACGATCATATATGATAAAATAAAAATTAATATAACATAAATATTAATAAACTTCTAAGTAAAGTTAACCAAAAGTTATGTAATTAATTACGCATCGTGTGCACACCCTACAGATTAGGTATACTCTCACACACACATACGCGTGCGGCGGCGTAGTGTTGTATCAGCACGCCGCCGCACGCGTCCACACTTGGAACACTTGGAACGTGTCAACACTTTATTTATTTATACGGAAATTTTGTCAAAAATTAAGTGCCTATTTTTTTTACATAATTCGAATGAGAATCATATACCGAGTATTCTCCTTAAATATTGATAGTAATTCACCAGTCACCCTGTATATAATTCTTCTGTGAGTGTGTATGTCACTGAACTTCTCTCAAACGACTGGACCGATTTTGATGAAATTTTTTGTGTGTGTTCAAGGGGATCTGGGAATGGTTTAGATTCACAATTTTGTCCTCTGGACAATGTTTTTTTAATAAATTTTTAATTTATTAGTAGTTGTGGATACAAACGTTTTTTTTTACATTAGATTTGACAACTAACTAATATGTCAATCATTCTGTCGCACTTCAAACACGGAGATTTATGGCTTCAGTAGGTAAACTCCAAAAATATAAATAAAAAAAGTAACAGATATTTCGTGATTATAGGGTGAAACGAAGTTCGCAGGGTCTTCTAGTTATTTTATATAGTACCAATTCTTAAAGACCTTTTATCATAGTATTTGAGAGGATTAATATAAAAAGTGTAAACACAAAATTACACATTATATTCCTAAAATTCTGCAAACGTAGTAATATAAAATGATATATTATGTAATAAGGAAACTGTGGTATATGTTAATCTATATTTGTGATTTTTTGTTCATAGCTTAAGGATATTAATCAATATTTTGATTTTTAGAAATTTAAACACATCCCAAATTTTAAACAAATACAATCAAAAATTAACAGGCTCATTATTTATGTTTTCTGTTACAAGTACTACTTACTCGATAAATCATTTTATTTTTAAGAATAGAAAAATATAAAAAAATGAGAAAAAAGCGTTGCACAAAAAACATTCATACCATCGGATTCGTCAAAATAATAAATCTGGATGCTACAAAAAACCAGTCAATAAAATTTTTGAGATTGTACTTTTTGATATTGTAGGTTTTTAAGACGATTTTTTTTTAAGTTATTATGAGGAATTTGAGAATTATTATCAAGTGTACTTTTAATCCAAGGGAAACTGATAATCACATAAATTGATATAATCTTTATTCGTCGATAAGACCTTTATGATTTTTATATTTCCTTACATTACATGTCTTCATGATAATTTTTGTCCTCGTAGTTAATCTTTATATGTATTTATAATTATTCTGTGAGTGTGTATGTCACTAAACTTCTCTCAAACGACTGGACCGATTTTGATGAATTTTTTTGTGTGTGTTCAAGGGGATCTGGGAATGCTTTAAATTCACAAGTTTGTCCGCTGGACAATGTTTTTTTAATCTTTATATATAAAAATGAATTGCTGTTCTTTAGTCTCACTAAAACTCGAGAACCGCTGAACGGATTTATCTTATCTTAGTCTTAAAATATTCGTGGAGGTTTAGGGAAGGTTTAAAAGCTGAAACAAAATGATTCATTTCCGGGAAAACCCTAAAAACAGCCCTTTTCTATTTCCCAAACAAACGTTTTTTTTTGACATTAGATTTGACAACTAACTAATATGTCAATCATTCTGTCGCACTTCGAAACACGGAGATTTATGGCTTTAATAGGTAAACTCCAAAAATATAATTAAAAAAACGTAACAGATATTTCTTGATTATAGAGCAATACGAAGTTCGCCGGGTCTTCTAGTCTTCTTCTTCTATATATATAAAAATGGATTGCTGTTCTTTAGTCTCGCTAAAACTCGAGAACGGCTGAACCGATTTGGCTAATTTTAGTCTTGAAATACTCCTGGAAATCCAGGGAAGGTTTAAAAGGTGAGAAAAATTGGAATAGTTGCCGGGAAAACCCTAAAAACAGCCCTTTTCTATTTTCTATACAAAAGTTTTTTTTGACATTAGATTTGACAACTAACTAATATGTCAATCATTCTGTTTGATTGAAACAGGAAAACCTGATTATTTATGGCCTCTAAGACGGAATCTATAACGGAATAGAGTTCGCCTGGTCAGCTATATCTACATACATATATTACTCTCGACCAAACTAACGCGGACGAAGTCGCGGGCAAAAACTAGTTAAGTATAAAGTACAAATTTCAACTTCATGTATCGTCAATGGTAACAAAGATTTTTTTTCAAATTGATTTTTTATTTATTAAATATTCAAAAATAACTTTTATTTTCGTTCTCATAAGTGTTATTGGTAATAATTATTATCAATACTCAATTCAAGTGCTCTCATGTCGAGCTTTGCGTGCCACACTAGTGTTTGAAACTAGAACAATAATACTAGACAAATATAATTTTAAATGTAAAGAAACAAACCGACAAATATATTTGTTGACATGTAGATCTATTTGTAAAACCTAAAATAACTCATATAATTATTATTTTTAACTATGAACAGATGCTTTTTTGGTATTGTCTGAGGAGTAGACTTTTATCTGTTTTTATTACTGAAAACAACAAGATTAAACATATGAGTTATCACCATACTTCTGACTTACTCATGTTTTGATAAACGTTAATAACCCTAGATTAGTCGGTGAATCAAACATTTGTACGCATATTTTCCGCTCGGACATCATTAAGAAGTGATAAAAAAATTGATAAATTTAAATTTCATATTTATGTAAATATACTAATAATAATAAACAATTACTAAATTAAATCGACTTAAAACAGAGTTTCTGAAGAGGAAACTGCAATGTTTTTAAAAAAATTCTGAAATTATTTTTATATTTTATTATCTTGGTTAATTATTCTGAAAGACAAAGAATATTTTATTAAATGTCTTTAAATTGCCTTAAATATATTCTCAACAATAATAAATACGTACAAATCATTTAGTACGTGTCTATAAATACATAAATATCGGATTCATTTCCACATAACAAATTATATGTATAATGTCCGTGAAAAATACAAATGTTTGATAAAATAATATTTTTTTAACAATATCCGTATTACAACATCTCATATTTTACCTGTCCCTATCAAGTCTGACACTTGTTATCTAAATAACATTGTAGTTTATGTTTGTGCATATTAATACTGTGTATATTCAATAATATTCATGCTTCGTATTTCACAGATGTACAAAAAAAAATCGACAAATTGAAATGTGTGTAGTCCATTTGTCAGTTAAAAATTAAAATATAAAGTATAATATTGTGGAAAATAAATTAAAAAAAAATCAGTTTCTTTCATTAAAAAGACATACAGTTGACTATATATATATATATATATATATCAACCAAATTTTACTAATAAACTTGACCCTCAATGATGATATGATACAATTTATAATTTTATTGCTGTTTAAATAAATATGTCAAAAATGTTTCTAATTTCTTAAACTATGATACTATGCTTCTAAACTATGTATATTAATATTCACAAGACATTGATCTCGGAGCTTAAATCCAGAGCTGTTTATATTGGGATTATAAGAACATAAATATACGAGAGATATTTTTAGGAAACTCAATCTTCAAAATCGTACATACATAAATATGTTATGTAAAGAAAAATTCAAATAAAATTATATCTGGATTAACCTCAAACATCTTCCAAGCTGTTAAATGTAACCGTAATAAGATATGATTTCAATAGTGCTGAATATTATTTTTTTTTATTTTCTCAGCAAGAAATCTTAATTTTACCAAGGCAATTAACTCCCATTTTAAGTATATCATAGTAGTAAGTAGTATTATTTTAAATGAAATTTTTTTAAGTTATGGATGTTGTTAGCCGTTCAAGCCAGACAATCTGGATCTGGATTTTTAAAGAAAGTAATTGGTAAAGTAGTTTATATATCAAAATAGTATGTCGTCAGAAATATTAAAAATAATTCTTTTATATTTTATAAAGTTCCCGAAACAGACTTTAATTGACATTGGTGGTCGGTTACCATTTCTATCCTTTTTATGACTCCCTTCAGATAACTTTTGAGACGGAATAGCAATTAAAAATATATATATTAATATTTTTATTCTTTATGACAATGCTAGCCAGTTAATGTAATGAAACAAAAATAAAATTCATGTGCAAATGTGTTTGAATCTTTTTTTGAATTTTCTTATATATATACAACTACATATATTGCGACGTGTAAAGAAAGGAACCAACATTAGTAGAAGTGACTACTAATAAATATTGATAAAATTTTAAATAATAATTTTAAATTTTAAATGTACACCACAACAATATACGGTTTTGAAATAAGTTGTTAACTCTATGTATATAATTACTGAATGGATATATGATGAATAGTGAAAATTATTTTGTTACAGGTAAGTACAAGGCGAAGTCTAGTCTGCAGTCGCTGGCGCAGGTGCTCGCGCGCTGGCGGTTGAGTTAGTTTGCGGTCCATTAGTCGTTCCGCTGCCGGCGTTCTATTAGCAAGTGTTTTGTGCCGCAATAGAAGACGGTCGAGATAAAATGAACAGCGGCAAAAGAAAACTGTCTTTCCTCGGGTTTGCTTCTCAGGTAAGCTTAACTTTACACAGTTTATATCAAAAAACACGAAATAAGTACATATTTCGTGTTTAAAGAGTTATTTCATATTACCACGTTCACACATAACGCTCCGGCGCAGATTTTAGTCTTTTTTTTTGTTTTATTTTATAGCCAGAGTTATGTTCATCACAAACGTATTAGGATTCGATATATTTGGATTAATAGAATCCTCTGATTCATAAAATTAGTAAAATAAAGACATACTTAATTAAAAGAAAAACTCTGTCCCTTAAAATTGTACAATAAATAACCAGATTTCTGATAGAGAAAAGAAACACTCAGATGATTATGACAATTATAGCATTAAAGGCTAACCTTATAACTATTTTAATTTACTTGCTCCAAGTAGTTTTCCTTCTCGTATTTCACTATATATTATTTTCTTTATCTCATGTAATTCAAGATCATTTATATATCTCTTTATAAGAAGTGTAACGATATAAATATAGGACTTAATTTATTTTGTTTCCATTGATATCAACAAAATCCTAAACAGTAAGTAGTGTATTACTACACTACTAATTCTTTTGGAGAATAAAAATTAAATCTATGGCGAAGTCAAATTGTTGTTGTAACTTTTAATCACGTATACATATAATTACTTATTTGTACTTGTTGACGATTATCTTATAATTCAAGGGGACAAAGAGAAAATATACGTAATTATGAAAAGCATATCTTTGGATTAAAATTCGTAAAACATTTAGTATTATATAAGTATTACAGGAACATAATTGTATAGGTATGTTTTAAGGTAAGTTATAATCAATTACGTTTAAAAATATATATAAATAAACTTTTTTAAGTTATAGAAAAAATCATAAGAACTACAATACCTAAATGTTGCATAATACATATATCAAATATATGTAAGACATTTATATGTATTTTTATATCTTTTTTCACATCTTTACTTCAATTGTTGTTGTTTCTTAATGTACTATCTTGATCTATTATTTTATATCCATATAGCCACCTCTTAAATTGCTGTGGATGTATTATTTTAATTCGATTTTATTAAAAATAGTAAGAAAACGCATAAACATTAAATATTACTGTTATTTATAATGTGCTGTAACTTGATGTCTTTACTTCTAATAAGATTCTTGCTTGCAAACTTAAGCACTTTATATTTTTTGCAATACTGACCTTAAAGGCACCAAACCTGTTATCGTCAAAGCAGTGACGAATTAAAGTCAAGCGATGAGAAATATTTTATTTCAAACTCTATCAATTATCTTCTTTAACATAAGTAAATGGTTCACTTTAATTAAAATCAAAATAAATTTTTAATATAAGCAAAATTACATATACTCCCGAGGAAATATATTTTATTAAAAGTTTATATTGTGCTTGAAATTATGATATCAATAAGACTTCATACAATTATAACAAGCTAGTTCGACCTTGACATGAGAATAAAATTACCACACCCAATGATATAATAACTTATAGTAACCATGGCTTTTACATTTCTATGAACATATTCAAACTTATTTAATAAAAGATTTTATTTGAAACGAGTTCATTGTCGGTATAAGTAACCAAATTAATACTGAACCATTAATATCATAGGTTTATTTCTATCGTATGCCAATTGTTTTAAATACCGAAAACAAATCTATCAGCTATACAAATTTATTACATGTAATTTACATATGTGAATAAAAAATCAATGTTACCTAATCACTACGTATAATTGTACACCAAAAGTAATGTATTATAAATACATTAGTTTAAAAACTATAGAATAATAAGCAATAATAAGCTGTATTACAAATGAATCTCTTGATTCGCTGCCGTTATGATGTCCAATGTTTCAATATTATTGTAATGAGTAATTCATTGCTGCGCTTAAAATGACATCATTTTAAATGTGATAATAAATATATAATAACTATTAGAAATTCTAGAATTGTTTAAAGAAAGATTTAGCGGACTTGTTATTAAAAACTGTTGTTTTTTTGATAAATTATGTGAAGTTTATTTTTAAACTGGCTGTTCACTGTCAAAGTGTCATGATAGGTAGTAGACATTGGATTAGCTGGAAAACATGAAGACATTTCGAGATATATATAGCATTTAATTTTCAATAAGGACGTAGCTTATAGAGGAATACATATTGACTTAAAAGTATAATAAGTACCAAGAGTTTTTATGAACACTAATATGAATTTTAAATATAAATCTCTTGTCATTTTAAAATAATGAAATGAAATGTTAACTATGTTTGAGAAAACTGATTAGATTTATAACAGAATTAAATTCTAGTTAAGTCATGAGGTCGTAATTAAGCGAGAAAATCTGAAAAATGTACAAAGGAAAAGTAATTTTGTCTTCGTAAGATTAGATATCTTTTTTTATTTAAACGAAATATCTTGTAATAATAAAGTCAAGACGGAGATGTCAATGTTATTCGTTATGAAAGATATTAATTTTTTTTTGATAATTTGTGTGATACAAACGCTTTAAATATTTAAAGTAAAAACGTACATGTTTACATGAGATCATTTAGTTCGCAATGGTAACGTGACAATGATCACCTTTGTCGAATTGTATAATTGGACATCCTGATAATAATATGAATGCAGTGTGAAGTTAGTTTATATTGTTTTGTGCTGAGTACATTGTCAGTCTAATACGATATTAACATGTCGGTAGATTACGTATCTATGTATTTATTTTACACTTTGTTTCCTGTATTAAGTTATCATGCCAACCTCTTTTGTAAAACCAATGGTAAACCGCTTTTCGATTGACTTTATTTTATGGAGAGAATGCTAAAATTATATTAGTTACACGGGTTTACCAGATATCTCTCTCCTAGTAGAACTTAATCCCAAGTTATTTCCGGAGAAGTGGCACTTTGAAAGTGTTATACACACACAGGTATATATACATATATGTATATATACCTGTGTGCGTATATATGTTTAATGTCGCAGCCTGAAAAATTTGATAAGTTTACGATCACTACTCAAAAAATCAGTGAAATGTGTCAGGGAAGCAATGTTTAAAAAAGTATGAATTAGTCTTGGTTTAAGGTAATCTGCAAACCACAATCACTGTAAAAGATATGCCGGAAAGCTTTCTACTTGGAAAAGCGTTAATAATTTCTAAAAGAAATGATTCTCATATTATGCTAGTGAGTGTATAAATGCCAAAAACTAATTAACTATCCCAGCAGTTACCGCTTTCTTGAGATAATCTATTACTTCACTTCCTGGTATCCCAAAGTGTGACGATTTCAAATGTAATTAAGTGTTCGTAAACCTAAATTTCAATTTGAAAATTATGGTTTAAGTGCTACCCACTTATGAACCCTTATATAAATATTAGTACACTCAATTTATGCTTTTGGCTTGACTTGAATAGATCCAACGAGTTAGTGCCTATTACATTGTTTGAAGAGATCACTTCTTTTTAGTGCACTCCGAATGTGTTTTGATTATTTACTATGTTACTCAGCATATAAACAAATGGTCTGTCACGAATACTGGTTATATTACTCAACTATACAAATATGTATTTGCTTGCACGTCTTCATGAATAACGATTTTATAGTACTTGTTTACTAAGTTTTTATTAAGTTAATGACTCAATATATAACATGCAACTCAATATATATATATATATATACATATAACGTTAACAATTGGAGTGTGAAATTAATAATTCGATTTAATTATTATTTGTCACCTTTATGTAAAATACTAACTGTCACTATTGTTTGTTTGGAAAATTGCATTTTAGAAATAAACGAGCGTTGTCGGTTCTATTATTATTATCTTTAAAAGTTGTCACTATGTGTCCTATGCTAAGAGATCAATAAAAGTCTAGCAATTAGTATATACACCTATTAATTTACCTTTTCTTTTACTGTTCGGTATTTAAAGGTAATGAAAATAAATCAAAATTGTCATTTGAGCAGTACGTGAACAAGTGATAAACAGTTTTTTTCCTTCATTAATGAAGGATTTAAAAGTACATTATATCAATAAATACATAACGCACCATCGTACCTAGTCAAATCCATTCCGACACATTCTGCACGTCACTAGGGTGAAAAAAGCTGCTAGGACGGCAATTGTATAACTTGTAATAACGTTTCATCCTTTTAAATGAAACTAATATTTTCGGATTTACTACATGTTTTTTATTTTTGACTATAAACTACATACTCAAGACGTTTCGGCTACTTTACAGCAACCGTGATCACGGGCAGACGAGGTGTGAGTCTCACTATACAATAAAAAATACGAAGTATACCCGAAAATATTAGTTTCATTTAAATAAGTACTAGCGAAAATCTTAGGTTTTATACTTTTTTCCAGGTGACTTAATACTTGTAAAATTATTACATGTAATCCATGACGGAACGAAGCAGCTATACTTGATAAACAAGACATTCAAAACTTGCCATCCTAAGATATACTATTTAATGCTCCAATATATAAACATAAATCTGAAAATTAATTGTTTATTCTACTCGAAAACTTTTATTAAAAGTCAAATAGTGGGGAGCCCAAAACAAGAGGTCTTTTAGTGTAATTTAATCCTAAAAAATGTAGATTAATGTCATCCATCAGAATTTAATATGACTTCTCATTTACATACTGTAAATCCTATAAATTAGACAACATTGTCTCACAAATTTCTCAACACCGTCAAATTTGACTTATACATACCGAAATAAAAAATATTTAATCACAAAGAACACAAAAATGAAACATTCCCGTGTGTTGACTTTTTTATTATAATAGACTTATTATTTTTAGAACTTCTAGGGCTACCGTTTACAATTGATAATATATTATATACATACATATTTAACGGT